AAACCAATGAGGATGACACTTGCATTTTCTTTATTTTTAAAAAAGTAGCCTGATAATAATATCAATCCAAACTGCACCAAACAGTACATTTTTTCAGATATATGAGAAATTGAAGGGGTGCCAATGGATTTTTCAAGTGATTTTATCAACTTTACTTATTAACAAACGCTTTGAGGTAGGATTAAGTGTCAACCTAAATAAAATTGTACCATTAAAAAAGGATTTTACCATTGAATAAAGTCGCAACGGAAAGAATCAATTTACAACTTCAATAGTATAGGGACGTAAGTCAATGTCCTTGCACAAAATATTCCACACTGATCTCAAGAGCAGCAAAGCTTTAAATATATAAACCAATGTAGAAATTATTTTATTAATGGCTAAATATTATATTTTTTTTTATGTTTATTAAGTAAAAATAAATAATTATGCTGAATAATTTTTCACTCATTTATTAAAAATGATTTATTAAAAAAAATTTATATTAATGCTTATAACAGATCTTATTTATTTTATTTATTTAATTAGATTTATATAAAATACGTTAAGCTTATTACTTTATTATATTAAATTTGTGTTATTTTATATATATCTACTAAAATATCTACTATACATAATTTTATTAGTTTATTTTAACTTTAAAATTTAATAATAATATCATTTGTTATTAACACAGTAACTTATGATAATATAACGTAATACCAATAGCTTGAACCAAATTTTTGCATGTAATAATGTTGTGTTTTATTTTGTTGAAATATTTCCTAATACTCGAATTCTCTACTAGTATATTACAGATAAAAATAAGTTATTCATAAAATCTTTCTTGATATATATTTTTTAGATTTGCCCGGAGTTATTAGTGATCACAACAACCAAAGACTAAATTCCAGCCATAACAATAATCAGAATGATTTTTCCGAAATATCACAGGTGCGTCTGCGGCAGCTAATTGAAACTATATTAGCTGAAACATTACGTACACCAATCTTAAGCTCTAGTGCGGTCTCAGAAATTGCACTAGACACCCATAGCAATGCAGAAACAATACCGTATTCTAACGGTGATGTCAAAATGAACTCCCGACGTCACCGAACCGAACACTATTTTGAACCAAAAGCCTATCAAGATTTATTGGCTACTGCTGTGCTCAACAAGGTATGTTATTAATAAAATTAAAAAAAAATTTTACCAAAATTGTTTGATGATTAAGTAAATTTTTAAGTAAGCTAAAGATAAGAACGAAACTTTAATGCTTATAAAAATTTCACCATATAATGACTAAAATGTATTTTTTATATATGTATATAAACTCGGATATAATACATAAACTCATTAACCCCATTTATTTAGTTCTAAACTTATTATTACTTAGATCGCAATTATACACGACGTCTCGTAGGGGTTTACATAAGGATTATTCACATTTAAAATATTCTAAACATATGAGAACTGCAATTTGGTTACATATTTAAAATAGACGTGACAAATAACTGCTTATCAAATGGCTGTATTTGTCTATACCCTGACCTAAATTGGGTCAGTACAACTTTTATTCTTAGAGTTATCAGGAAAGTTTTATCATTTTATACCATAAGAACTTGTTCTTGAAGAAGAGTCTATCTCAGTATGAAAGATCTGTAATTATTGAAGTTACTTGATCTTACTGATATAGTCTCCGTTACAGCAGAAGTTTATGTGAATCTAGATCTATTTAGGACGATCAACGTTTATGTTAAATTCTCATTAATTAAAATGTTATTGTTAATATAGATTTTTTTATAGTATGTGACATTTGAAAACTTATAGTAATTTCTTTAATTGTTTTTCAATTTTTCTTAAAGTCTATAATATTCTTAGTATAATTATTTTCACCTTAGAAAAGTGGTGGTAGAGAAATGAAAAATATGTTTGGTTATGAAATAAAAACCACTGTAAGGAACTAAAGCGGGTTTTTATTCAAATCGTTTAAGTTCATTATGCATTTTTATTTATGCAAAAAAATAAAAAACTTTTTAAGGTAAATGGTACAAAGAAATAACACAGAAAACCTACCTTTTGCAAACACCTCCTACATATGTTGAAGGAAATAAAAATATATATAAATATAAAATACAAACTTATTCGTACATCTAATGTCAGTGAACTTAATACTATCAAAGGGAACCCCAAAGCGCTTACATGAAACATGACGACGTTTGCAAAGGGAAAATACATCTAAAACACTTGTTGAACTCAAAATGTTCGTTGTGTGTTAAAGATAATTATCGAGGAAGCAATAGAAAAAGTAAGCAAATAAATTTTCCACGTCAAGAATCTAATTTCGAGGTCTAACCAAGTCTGACATAATGACGACAAAATCTAAAAATGTAACTTAGATTTTAGTACCTTAAATACTGAACACACTGTCGTCACTGTTGTCACTATTTGCCTGTATCTGCACATCTAGTTCAGACTTTCGTTAAGTTTTTCATTGAGCATTTGTTTGGATTCCTTCCTGTTACTTTATGTAGAAAAAATATTGAATTTTAGAATTCGACAGACAACTCTTCTTTAAAACTATTTTCAATTATTTACAGAATATATTGCGTAAATTAGTTGGTTTTCAACTGTTTAGCTGAATAGACGTTTATAATTTCAACGTAAAAATACGTGAAGTACTTGTAGAAAAAACAAAATTTATATTAATACAATTAACTAAAGTCAAAAATTAATAAATACATATATATATATATATATAAATATAATTAATTATTTAAAAAACAAACATTCAAAACTGAATATAAAAACATAAATACAATGTAGATTTAGAAATGGAGGATCAGGAGCAAGACAAGGATTCAAATGTACATATCGATTTCATCCAGTATTAAGATAAAAAAGCAGTGCATTTTAAGTCTAGAATGCTTAAGCCTATTAAAATATTTATAATGTATAATAAATATGTGAAGAAATATAATACAATAAATCTGAAATATATATATATAATATACATAATGTTTATATAAATATATTATATATAATAAACATAATGTTTATATATATGTAAATAATGTATTAATAAATATAACATTAGTTTTACATATCTATAAATTTTATTTTAATAAGACTAATATTAAATATATTTAATATTCTTTATATATATAATGATATGCATAATAAATATAGAAAGAAAAAGTAATTTAATAAATCTATAACCTTTATTTAAACATTATAATAAATAATCTAAATATCTACATAAATGAATTTATAAAAGAAATATTAAAAAAAGAAGAATAATTATTTCTATTATTTAATTAAAATTAAATATTATATAATATGATATATTATATTATATTATATTATTAATATATAACATATTAAAATATAAAATTTATATTCAAATTTACAATATCTTTGTTAATGTTTGCTAAATCAATCTTAAAAATTGCAAAATTATTCGCATTGACCTGCAATTTTTTTCTGCTTTTCATTCCACAGATATGGGTTATATTTCTAAAAATAATCTATATATGTGGTGTAGAGAGAACTCTAATTAAATTAAAAAAATTGTATTTAAAAAAATCGAATATATTTTATAAATAGATTTCTTTACATTTTTGAGCTCATTTTTATCTGTTTGTTTGTATATCCTTCTAGTTGAGCAGACTCTACCGGTAAATAATGTTGGTCTCTTCCTTATAGAATAGTAACACTAAAAACGTTTGTAGTTGTACATTCAACCTCGAAAACTATATTCTAAGCATTATATTTCTATCGACACCTTTCCAAGTAGTAAAATTAAATAATAGAAAATTTCTATTGCCTCATTTAGTAACCTGCCTTCTGAATATTTTGTTATTTGCATATATATTGCATTCAACTTTTTACTTAATGTAATTGTTTTCACCCTTAATTTGTGAAATACTACGTCAATTATTTAAATATATTATATAATCTTTACAACACAGAAATAAATATACCATAGTTTCATAAATATATTGTATTATATTGTTTTTAAATATATTATTTTTTCATTAATAAACAAACTTTAAAATTTTAACAATATTTCTAGATTGTTGATAAACAAGGAAATACAAGATTATTTTCGGAGAGTTCACCAGATTTAAGTGCCAATAATATTGATGAAAACTTTAACATCGAAGAAAATAGTATATCTTCATGTAGTTCAGTCGAACCACGAAGTGAATGCAGCTACACCGACAATGAACAAATACTCAAAGTAAAAATTTTTCAAAATTATAAAAAAATATAAAAGAAAATAATAATATAATATCTTACAGAACAATAAGGTTGATAAATCGCAACAACATAAAAATCTCGACAATTCACTGGGACGTGAATCAGCTTTGAGCGATTATGTTGCGAACCACACAGTACCATTACCTGACTTTTCTGCGCCGCCAACAGAATCTGAAGAGGATGGTATGTTATTACTTACAACTTTATTTGTACGGCATTATATAAAATATATTTTTAGACTTTGTTTCGGTGACCTCTAGTAAGATTGGTGATGCCACCTGGGAAGATAACTGGCTTTTTAGAAAGAAACGCTCATCATTGAGTAATTCTACTTCAACAACTGGATGTGGTATGTTAGTACCTGCACCCACAGAAGATATACGTGCTCAAATTGGTGATAAAACAGCTGATGAAATCAGTGATCTTTCAGAATTTGGTTCAGACACTGATGACTCATCAATAGATTTACT